CGAACTGATCGAGCCTGGATCGCAGTCACAAGCTGTTGCTTCCACCTCCACGATGGATGTTGCTCATCAACTCGTCAACAATTCGGTTGGAGATGGAGGGGACCGAGCTGAGTCAGATACGTCGGTACCTGGTGTTTCAAAACGCCCTGAACCTCGTTCAGCGGCCACAAGAGCTAAAGAATTAATTTCAAAAATATTTTAGAATTCCAAAACGAATCGAGATAGATATAGACAAATGTATACATAAATGATCAGGATGAAAAAAGAAATCGATTAAGCCATGTCTGTCTGTCCGTCAGTCCGTGTACACGATAACTCGAGCAAAAATTGAGATATCTCAACGAAATTTGGTATGTAGGTTTCCCTTAATCCAAGGTAGGTTGGTATTGAAAATGGGCGAAATCGGACTTTAACCACGCCCACTTCCCATATAACGGTAATTTCCAGAAATACGAAAACTGCGATATTTTAGTAACTACTGAAGATAATTCACTCAAAATTGATATTTACAATAATTTTTAGACGAAAAATAAGAATATTATAAATTTTTGGAAAATGGGCGTAGCCACGCCCACTTATGGTTACATGTGTATATCTTGGTAACCCCTGCACCAATTTCTTCCAAACTTGGCACAGTTGTTGGCCTTGGTACAGCATAAAAAACCGCCGAAACTTTTTAAAATCGGACAATAACCACGCCCACATCCCATATAACGGTAATTTAGAGAAATACAAAATCTTAGATAAATCATTAAATATTGAAGATAATTTATTCAAAATTGATGCTTGCAACAATTCTTTACCAAGAAATACGTTTATGGTAAAATTTTGGAAAATGGGCGTGGCACCGCCCACTTATGATCACATATAATTATATCGGTAACCGTTCTACCAATTTGTACCAAACTCGGTATGGTTATTGTACTTGCCACGTGTAAGCAAAACGTTGAAAATTATTGGAATCGGACTAAAATAACGGCCGATTCTCATATAACGGTAAATTTAAGAAATGCTTAAAACTTCAATATTTCGAAATTGAAGGACGCTAATTTACTCAAAATTGATACACCTCGGCTTACCATCTAGCGGAAGGTTTCGGAAGGGTGAAAAAACATATATTTAATACTTGCGCCGGGTATTTAATGTTCGGCTCCGCCCGAACTTAGACTTTCTTACTTGTTACATTTAAATTATTGTTGAACAAAACTTAAGAAAGGCGTTGTAATGTACTAGATTAGTAAATTAAGTATCATCCCTATAGCGTAATAGATTCCTTAGAATGATTGAATGTCATTATAGTATTCCTTTACTTTGACGTTTAACATTGCACTGGCGTTTATCATCATACGACTGTAAATTAGTATATAAGATTTGTACAATAAAGTTTCCTTCCTTTTTGCTACCAAACAACCGAGCTTAAAACATCTCACATATAAACCGTGTTTTCAAACGTTATACAAAACAAAGTTAAATTTAACGATTTTTCAGCATGATGTTCGACCTTTTGATCAGATTAAAAAAAAATTAACAAAAGTGGTAAACAATCTGACTTGGAAATGGGGGGTGCTATTGATATGACCGATACTGTACATACGTAAATATATCACTGGGCACCCGAAATGTGTAGTTATGCAGTGATTTTTTTTTTAATTTCCACGTATTTTATCTCGCCTTCGACAAAGGATTGTTTTCGTACAAAATTACGCACAAAAAGCTTACTCGTTCGTTTTTAGGCATGCCATTGTTACGAATTTCGAAGTTCGAAAATACGATTCGGATTGCAGCATACTATTTATACTATTCGTAGCAAAATCCGAATTCGAAGGAGTTGCGGAATAGGGGTGAGTATTTTCATCGTATGTTCGTTGTTGGTCTACGTGTACGCACAGCGGTAATCAATGCAATATATCGTAAAGCTTTACTTATATCAAATGCAACGCGTAAGGAAACGACAGTAGGAGAAATTGTAAATTTGATGGCGGTCGATGCACAACGC